CCTTGAACTACACAAATTCATACAATTTCATCAAAAATGACTTGTTTACCTATTGATACGCTGACGTGTCGATTTCTAAATTTAAAAATAATTTTTTACTTTTATTTTAATAATTTTAAATAAAAATTTATTTTAAACTTTAAAAAAAAAAAAAAAAAAGATAAACGGCCGGAGACGAAGGGATCCCCTTCATCTCTGTTGCTGGACGGAACCCCTTCGTTTCCGTCCAGCCACGGAGACGAAGGGGACCCCTTCGTCTCCGGCCAGCAAGGAGACGACGGGCTCCCTTCGTCTCCGGCCAGCCATGGAGACGAAGGGTTCTCCATGGCTGGCCGGAGACCCCTTCGTCTCCGGCAGTCAGTTTTTTTTTTTTTTTTTAAATAATTTATTATTTAAAATTATTAAAATAAAAATTTAAAAATTATTTTTAATTTTGTAACCCACACAACAGGTAAACAAGTCATTTTTGGTGAAATTGCATGAATTTGTGTAGTTCAGGGACCTAATTGTTGCTTTTTTGAGTTGAGTGGCCTAATTGCATTTTGGTGTGTAGTTGAATGGCCTATTTGACCCTTATTTCTAATAATAATAATAATAATAATGGACATATTAGAGATGGGTCCAGAACAAATCGACTCGGTGAAACGAACAAGACTGGTCCAGTTGGACCCAAGGCCCCAGGGTCGAGTCTCGTGCTCGGCCAATAGTTATGTTGTGCAACCGAATGCACCATGCGCATGGTGCATACGATGCAAAACGACGTCGTTTTGACTAAAAACGCGCGTCCCACTTAAAAAAAATCAGGTTCGATTCTCGACAATAGCATTATTGTGGATATATAGTTATGAATTTCTGGATATATAGTTATGAATTTATGGATATTTAGTTCATTCATTATGGATATTTAGTTCATTCATTGTAGATATTTACTTCATTCATTTAATGTGGAGATATAGTTATGAATTTATGGATATATAGTTATGAATTTATGGATATATAATTATGAATTTCTGGATATATAGTTCATGATATTTAGTTCAATCATTGTTTAGTTCATTCATTGTGGATATTTAGTTCATTTATTGTGGATTTTTACTTCATTCATTCACTGTGGATATATAGTTTTGAATTTGTGGATATAGTTATGAATTTATGGATATATAGTTATGAATTTATAGATATATAAAAATGCTATTGCCGGGAATCAAACCTGATTTCTTTTTTAATTGGGACGCGCGTTTTTTAACCAAAACGACGTCGTTTTGCATCGTATGCACCACGCGCATGGTGCATTCGGTTGCACAGCATAATTTGCGGTGCTTGGCCTCGGCTGCCAAAACCAAGCCCATGACTCAACCACAGGCCGCCTAGGTCGAGCCCGGTGCTCGGCCATGGGCACCAAGGGCTCGGCCTCAGTCAAGTAACCCGAACTTGGTCAAGTTTGTTATTATAACTAATTCTCCCTTTTTTGTGGGACGGTTAAGGGGCTTATTATAGTATATAAAGGAGGCTCGCATGGGCGTAGCTCTATTGGTCACAGGGGTAAAGTTTGATAATAATAATATATAAAGGGGTGTAATTGTCTTGTGAAGACATCATGAAATCTATTGTTATAGTATTACATCGCTCCTAAATACAATATCTTTGTCTGTCCAATATCATTCTTGTCTTTTACCATTATCTTTTATCGACATATTTATCCTTTAATCATCGAATTTATTAATTCGGACCACTCGGGTTAATTAAATTTATCAAATTATTATTATTATTATTATTATTATTTGACAAGAACGTTACAAAACATACCATCTGCATTAGCAGAGAAGTCAAAATGTATGATAGTATGAGAGATATCATATCCATTGGCTTCCACTAGCTTAGGAAGAAAATATCTCATACAAAAACGTTCATCGGAATTGGAATATATTTATAATTTATGCATAAGAAAAATTTCTATTTTTCCTTTTGATTTTATCTCATAAAATATAAAATTTATCTCGGAATGTAATTATGAAATTTTTTATATTTATTGATTGCTAATGAATTGACCAATTCTTTTATACGCACACTTATTAATCAAATAAAAAAAATATCACTCAAGATAAATATAGTTCTCCGTAAGTTATAAGGAGTTGTTTGCATAATTTTTTTTAGTGTGAGTTTTGTACTTTTTTATTTGCTAATATGTCAAATTAGTCTTCTTTTATTTATTTATTTAATTTATTATTATTTATTTGCTATACTAAGTACTCTACTTTTATAAATACAAACCAAGAAGCAAGAATTTTTTTCAATTCTAATTATCATTCAATTCGAACTTGTAATATTCTGATTATCAAAATAATAGTATGAACCTTTATACTACTTATTCCTTTACAATTCTAATATAAATCAAACATTATAATTGACATTCCTAATAATTTTATTATCATAAACCAAATAATTAAATTTGAATTCTTATTCCCCTCTTATTTCTTTCCCATGAAATTACAATTATCTTCCTCCTAATGCTCATATTGCAACCAAATGCACCATAAGGGCAAACGTTTTGGAAACGCTTCCTCCCTAAAACCTTATGAAATTACTTAACATGTTTCAAAAGTATTTTCATAATTAACAAAATAAATGCATTTCCCTTAAAAATTATTCTTTTAACATTTATGCATATTTACAAATATTTACAAATTCACATTTACATTTTACTCACATTTTATATCATGTATTTCTGTGTTGGTATTTTTGGTTTATCGTTTTCAAGCTACCCACACCTCATTTAATAGTGTTATACTATTATGCCCCACGACATTGGTCCAGCGAATGAGAAGTTTCAATTAAGACTTGCTTCCAACAGTAAGAAGGAGGTTCGATTACTGCAACAAAAATTAGGAGATTGGGTTTGGTATGCGTTCTTTGTCCACAAAAATATACAGTTTGGTGTTAAGTCTCGAAATTAGATTACCTTAATTTACCGCTTCTTAGGTCTAAGAGTAACTTTCATAGGGTTCATAAATTATCAGTCGTTATGCTGTGGACTCGTGCCCAGCGTGCATCATGGGCACTGGTAACGGTGCCGTCAGGCACCGTTATCTTCATTTTTTTTCTTTTTTTCTTTTTTTCTTTTTTCTTTTTTCTTTTTTTTTTTTTAAATTTCAGACCGCTTCGTTATAGGAGCATATATTCACAGCTTTGTATTCATAATTTCATAACTGTACATTCATAATTCCATAACTGTACATTCATAATTCCGTAACTGTACATTCATAATTCAATAACTGTAAATTCATAATTTTCGAAGCTCTATGTTCATAATTGAAAGTTCATAATGTTAGAGTTCTATGTTCATAATTTCATAACTGTACATTCATAATTCCATAACTGTACATTCATAATTCCATAACTGTACATTCATAATTCCATACTGTATATTCATAATTCCATACCGAACATTCATAATTTTCGAAGCTCTATGTTCATAATTGTAAGTTCATAATTCCATAACTGTACATTCATAATTCTATAACTGTACATTCATAATGTCATAACTGTATATTCATAATTTCATAACGAATATGCCGTTAACGGCCTTTCGAACAATTTTTTTTTTTTTTAGTTAAAACAGCGTCGTTTTCACTGAAAACGACGCCGTTTTATCGCCGTGCGCACCTTGCAAGGTGCGCATAGCATAATTTGCCATAAATTATAATATAATCCACCGAAGTTGAGAAATTTAAATTAAAAAAGGGTAATAGTGTTATACAAAATGATTCAAGAATAGGTATAGTATTATATAGTACTTTGTGGAGACTTGGGGTACAGTTACTTGTTGCTTTAAAAATTTAAGCCGTGTTTCCTGTGATGTCCCTCAGCATGTAATGTGTTGACAATTATGGTGTATCCCAAAATGTGTATTTTTTTTTAGTAAATAAGTCACTTCATTGTAATAAAATTAATAGTATTAAAAAAATAAAATCAATTCATTTTGAACAAATTTCATTTTTAGTTACGTAGTATTTATTATTATCACATTGTTACATTTACTTACATTATTACATCTGTGACTTTAATTTAGTTGTTACAATTAGCATTTTATTTAAATTTTTGGCATTTCACATTTAACAAAGAGAGATAAGTCAGATAACACATAGGAGAGTTTGTGGGTTTGAGTCTTAGTGGAAACGATATTAACTCTTTGTGTTTCATTTGATTGAGAAAGTAATTATGAACATATACTACATTGTAATCGAGTCGATAGTATTTTAAAAGAGTTAATACCATATGAGGTCCTCCGAGTATAGTGGTTTTGCCACGTTTAGTCCTAAACTTTCAAATTGACCATCTGTGGTCCTTCGACTTTCAAATTTAACCATTCGTGGTCCAAGTTAACCACTCATGGTCCTTAAACTATTAAATTTTAACCAACTATGGTCCTTTCAAGAGGACCATAGCTGGTTAAATTTCGAAACTTGAAGGACCATGGGTGGTTAACTTGGACCGCAAATGGTTAAATTTGAAAGTTGAAGGACTACAGATAGTCAATTTGAAAGTTTAGGACTAAACGTGACAAAACCACTATACTCGGAAGACCTCAAATGGTATTAACTCTATTTAAAAAAAAAAAAAAAAGAGATAACATATACTCCGTAATTGATTATTCAAGCACCTTGTAATGTCTCTCTCATAGAGTTTCCAGTTCCTAAAGCCTGATATTCATTCTATTGGATGATTAAAAAAAAAAAAAAAAAAAAAAACTCCTTACTTTTTTTTTTCCACAGTCGGACACAGTAACTAATCCCCTCGTTAAGACAACTAGCCTAGAGATTTAAGGCTACTCCATACCTAAAGCCAAGGATCAAACCCTTGACATTTGGTTAAAAATGAATAGTCCTTACTACTCAAAACACACCCCAGGTTAAAAAGCACTTCTTAATGTGGCAATACATTCATTCCATATTGTGCATTTACCATTGCAAATAGGATTGAAGATCAGGTTCACAAGCTTATTCCAACAACAAAAAGATTGGGTTCTCACCAGGGATATAATTCAATTCCTCTTCACAGCTGAACCTTCAATCCAAAGTGCATATATAACAGAGACAACTCTTTCAAGGTTCTTTTAAGGGCAAAGTTAAATACTAGTAAATGCATTCAAGTGTCACATGAGACATCAAATTCTGCATTCAAGTGTCACATGAGACATCAAATTCAGCATTCAACTAAGGACAAAACAGATCTTAGAAGACTTGAAAAATTAAGGATGACACAAAATTTAATTAAAACTTTAATTGTGACCCTCCTCAGCAGCAGCTTCAAAGGTTTCACCAGATACAAGTTCCGGCACATCATCGTCGTCCTCATCTTGTGCCAAAGCTGCACCTGCAGCTGAACCCGTGCCTGCAGCTCCGGGTGCCTGCTTCTGGAACTGTTCCGCCAACTTCTTCAAGTTCTCCAAGTTGTCGGGTCCTAAAACAAAGAAATTTTACCGTCATTGATATAATTGTAATATTGCATAGGCAGCACCTTTAGTGAAAATATGAATAATAGTTGCATACCCAATTGGTGAATAATTTGAGGCAGAATGTCTTGCAATTCTGTATAAAAATGAAAATATTAGTCATGTCAAGTCCTTAGCCAAAAAAGTATATATAGCCTCCAAATAAGATTGTGTGCTCAAAGCATGATAAGAACATCAACATAATTTTGCTATGAAAGCTGATAACAAGTATTTTCCAAACCGGATTATAAGAACTGAAGTGTAGAAATAACATACTCTTAGTCTGAGGAGAACCACTGACAACCCAGGTATTTGCAGCAATTGAGGCTTGAACTGGAAAAACAAGACAAATAAGTTAAGGCAAATGGGCAAGGCAAAATAACAGTAAATTACAGTTAATTGACAGCATAATTGTTACCTTTAGGGTTTAGGAACTGGATAACTATATCCTCCTTGAATATGTTCACCTCTTCGATTGCAGGAATTGCATTCACACCTATTCTCTTCAGTGTGCTCTGAAGCCTTTTGTCATCGGTTGTATTTGTCTTGTGAACAGCCTTCTTCTTTCTAATAGTGAGAAGAATAAGAACCATCAAACAACTAATTGCTAGTAACATAACTTTGAAGTTGTAACGACAATAAATAATACTCTACCAACAGTTACGTCAAAACAGCATCACTATAAAGTTAGACAGGTCTTCCCCAATAAACATAATAAACAATAAAATATAATGATTTCACAGCCTCTTAACATCAAGATAAATCAGAAAGTCAGTAGCATTTCTATGAAGCTAACAGTTCTTCCCTCTAAAATACAAGTGAGAAGGCAAACATCGGGATTAAAAGATTCAATCTTTAGCTTCCTTACATTATAAATGAGGAAAAAAAAGACCTTTAGCTATGACTTCAATAAATTTCACAAATAATCAAGTCATAGAACTGTTAAAGAATCAGTTTTAGCAGATGGTTATCACCCAACTTAACTTAACTTGGCCTTTATCTACACAATAAAAGCAAGCAAAGGAATAAAGGGACATTAACATAGTACAAAACACAAAAGCAACCTCCTCATGGTTCCCTTGCCACCGGTCCTGACTGACCCAGCCATCCTTTGAAGCTTTTCTACATTCATCTGTACCAAATATGCAGAAAATCTAAGTATGCCTACAAATATAATATCACAAGTGTATCATACCCTAAAAATTAATTAGAATAATAAGCATAGACAGAACTAAAAAAATAAGAATAACAGAAGCATAATAATAGTGCAATAGACTTAATAGTGTACAGATAGATAAAAGACATAGTTAAACTGCTATTGTTGTAGCTGTTATTAATCTATTCCTATCATTAATTAATTAATAATTTAACAATTACACTATTATTAGAAAAAATCCAATAAATATCTGTATCAAGTGAATGGAAATTTGCATCCAATAGAGCTAGCCCAAGAATAAGAAAGAAAAAAAACGATTCAAAGCACCAAATCTCAACTTTTGCACAAAAGAAAAACACTTTCCCCTTGATTCAATAGAAGTAGAACAGAAGATCTATTTGCAACAGGTGCAGATGCACACACAACAAAGAGGTATGTGTATAAGAATACATATTTACACAGATATTTACAGATACACCAAAAATAGTATGCAAATAGGGTGAGGAGAAGCTATGGCAAACCTTGAATCGAAGAGTAGTAAAAGCGGTAGCCGCAGAGAGAAGAGGAAAGAGAGAGGAGAGAGGGAGAAGGGTTATCTTCTCAACTGGAAGAAGAGTGACTGAGGGTTTCGTAGGGTGTAGAAACGCTGACAAGCAACCTAGTTGTACTCAACACCCCCAATTGATGGGCCTAAACGGCCCGACCCTATTTAATGGACCTCAATCTTGGCCCGCTACAAATACTGGTAGTTTGGTTTTTGTCTTTTTGAGGCCTGTTTACTTTTATTTCCCATCGTTATGCTGTGAGCACGTGCTCACCTTGCATGGTGCGCACGAATCTTTATCTATCATTTTTATATTGTAGATTCATAATTTCTAAACTCTCGGCGAGCTAAAATTTATACTTTAGATTCATAATTTTTAAAATCGTAGGATCAATAATTTAAATACAGTAGATCCATAATTTCTATACTGCACTCATTTGTGAAAACATGGTTCAACAATTGGAATCTAAAGTATAAATTTTAGCCCATCGATATTCTAGAAATTATGGATCTACAGTATAGAAATTATGAATATAGATTCGTGCGCACAATGTACATAGTGGACACGTGCTCACAGCATAATTTGCCATTTTATTTCTTAAATTTAAAATATCTGTTTGCCCATTACTCATTTTCCAAATTTAATGTTTTGGACTATAATGATAAATTTATAAAAACTATAGAAATGTGATGGTTTGAGTGAAATATGTATAGTTTTTAATGAGTTTAGTATAAGTTTTTAAATAGGCACAAGTGTCAAATAAGTTTATGTACTATTTCGAAGTGCTCAATTCCCCCTATCAACTAAAATATAATGTGATTAGATACACTTACCTCTAAAAATTTGTCAATTAGCTTTTTTTGCAGGTTACCTACGGATTGTCACTCCACACTACTGACATGTAATTACATTTAAATAAAAATGGTGATGATGTGGAATTCACTTCCAAATCTCCAGCCAGAAGCCGAGCCCTGTTCCAAGCCAAAAACATTCGTCGACATCTTCATATAGACACTGCTGACATCCGTTCATTCTTCATAGCTTATCACGGATGAAACAGAGTTAAAAATAAATTCCCACACTTGTGAGACATACAAGATCTAGCAGCTGCTTCGAGTTCAAGAAAGGATGTTGTTGCAACACTCCTTGATAAAATCAATATCATTTAGTAATTTTGTCATCCATTCTTCCAAAGAAGAACGTCTCTGCACAATGAAGCCATTGAAAGTGAAATCCACTTTGAAGGAATTATTGTCAGAGTAATTCCAACAATATGATAGAATTGAACAGATAATAGCAGTTATTTAATTAAAAAGAATGAAAGGAAACGTTATTGTTGTCGTTTCTTCCATTGTTGTCCGCAACAACATTATCCTCCCCATCAATTGGCAGTACGGGATGCTCCATTTTCTTCAAGGAAATTCGGAGAAGACCACCAACGGGAAAACAAATATATAAGGTTTTAAGACTGTTGGTACCGTTGGTAGAAAACAAATAATAATCAAATAAAAAAATTGACTATTATTTTCTGGAAAGAGGGGAAGAAAAATTGAAGAAATTGGCTAGTGTTTGGTGTTGGGTTTTTGCAAGAGTCGAGTGAGCACTCTCTCCTTAAAACCTTATTTGCCACCTCCCAAAGATGCTAGGAGCGTTGTGGCCTAGGCTTCCCAGGATAAAACTTGCTAATGATTCAATGTTTGAGCACTCAAACAAGGAATCCGGCGAGCAAGACAATGGATATGAACACAGTAGGCCAAGAAAGAGTAGAAGCACAGAGGTTTTGAGGTTGGAAAACAAAAGTTTCGTGCAGTGTTCTTGCTGTTCTCACAGTGTATAAAACTCTACTGCCTCTACCCTCTCTTATATAGGGTTGAAGGAATCAATAGCCTTTATTATGGCAATTAAAAATGACATTAAAGCTGCCTTCCAACAGCTATAACAGCAGGCCACTACCTGGGAATTGAATTCAGAATTCAAAATTGGAATTAATAGACAATTAATTCCGTAACAGATGAATTCAATCCCCTCAACAGTCAGAACTTTCGGGTTCCAGACCGTTAGTGTACAGGGTTCGGTCTCAACTTTCGACCTCATCCAGTTTCGGCCCTTGCACCTTTCGTGGACTCTGTTGCACGAGAGTTGTGCTCTCGGTGCACCACAACCTCTCGTGCTCTCTTGTAGCACGAGAGTAGGTGCTCTCCAAGTGGAAAATGATACCGAAGTTTGACATAACTTAGCCCAAAAAAAATCTGCTAGTTGGAATTTGATTTGCGCCCCCCCCCCCCGCGCGAGAGAGCCTCTATGCTATACAATTCTACAAGCTTCAAAAGAGCTCTTGTATATAAGGGGGGAAAATCTTCATTCCAAAGCAATGTGGGACAAAAACACACTTTTTCCCTTCATTTTCCAACTCAAATGGGTCTACTTTAAGAATCAATATCTCATTCACCCATTATCCGTTTTGAGCATACAATATATCGATCTCTTCGTCTCACTACGAAGAATCCGAATCCACTTTTACCCGACCCAAATCGGAAGTGGACCCCATTGATAATTGTACCACAAAATAGCCACTTAACATGCCATTTTATGTCATTTTAAGCTATTTTTTCCAACAACTATTAACTTATTAAGTTCATTTAAATTTTGAAAGTCTATTTAGATTTCAATTTTATACTTATATTTTTTTGTTACTATTTGCCTTTGAAAAATGGCATCCCTCATCAACATAAGTATTGATCTCAAATCTTACAACTGTGAAATTTGGTGATGAGGGCATTAACCAAACTAAATATAATCCAACTTTACATAACATTCATAGATTGGAGGGATGGTTTTCTCTTGGATTGAGAGATTTATTATGAGAAATCCAAACGAAAAGAAAAACCCTATAAATTCCAAACATAAATGAAGAGTCATGTGTGTTACAGACTTGTTCTCATTAACGACGTCTTGTGTGGCCTTAGCTACTTTTTTCTCGCAATAGCTAAGTCATCTCGCTCAACTCTCGGAAGTGGTGCTAAGTAAATGATGCGATGGCTAAGAAAGTGAATAAGGTAGGAATCTCGCAAAAGCACTTAAAAAGCTTTGTAAGGAACTTAGATTACTTGAACTCTTAGATGGTTAGAAATGAGGCCCTTGGGGGTATTTATACACATTCCACCTCCTCAATAGATGGCTGAGATCTAATTAATTCTACGGCTAAGATTTACTCTATATAATCTTCCCAAAATCTTTACACAAGCTTGAGGATTTGTAAGGTTACGTTCTAGAATGTTCTAAGCATATCTACAACCTCTAGTGGCTATATACATGCCTCTAGATTATTATACAAACTATGAGATTCTATGTACACGTGCTAGAAAGCTCTAAAGCGATATAGCAAACCTCATAAATGCATAGCAAACTTCCATGGGCGTTACATCCTCCCCCACCTAATTCGGTGACGCCCTCGTCGCCTTGTATGCCTCCAATTGGTCTTGGAACTTCACCAAGTCCTCCTCGAGCTCCCATGTTGTTTTAGACTCAGGTAGCCCTTTCCTTTTGATAATGTAGTACATTTGAGGTGGAACTCCCTTTTGCGAACTACTTTTGATGTAAGCACCTTGTATATTCATTGGTTGAAGGACTTAGTTACCACGGGTGGTGTTCTTCGTGATAACCCACGGCTTCGATTTCCCACGGTTTCATGATGTGGCTTATACTCTTGTGGCCTCCACTTTTTGTTCGCCCATTTCTTCCTACACTTGCATGTTCCACCCAATCATTGGTCACAACGTTAGCTTTACCTTTATTGGCTCCTTCCACAACTTGCATGTTCGATAGTTGTTGTGACCCTTTCACACGCCTCTCGGGAGCTTCGAAGTTTGGGATCATGCACGAGGACCCTTTTTCCAAAATGCATATTGTGTTAAAGGATGACATGGGGATGGTTGTGGCTTGACGGAGAAAGTCCATCCCAAGCATGACTTTTTAATCATCCATTGAGCAGTTGGGCTCTCGCATTGGCGGCCTTAAGCCAACCTTCCCCTTCGTCCAACGAAGACCGAGTTTTCTAGCCTCATCCTCGATCACGAAATTGTGTGTATGTGGCACCAATATCTACTAAAGCTTGTGTCGGCTTACCGTTCACCAATGCTTCGATGTACATCAACCCTTTGTTTGACGTTGTTGGCATAACTTTGGCGGCGTTGAAGGAATTGAGAATTTGGAGTGACCCCATCTTGTTCGCCTCTTCTTCCTCCTGAGCATTGGCCACATGCTGCTCCACTATCGTCAAAAGAGAATCGAGCGCCTCTTCTTCCTCCTGAGCATTATCACCAAAAGAGAATTGAGCTTCGGACAATCCCTCATGGGATGCGAGGCATTCTTCTTGTCAGTAGAATAATAAATCTTCCTTGAAGTTATAACACTAATAATGAAATAAAAATAACAATGTTGCTAATAGGAATCAAACCTCGATGTGCTAGTAAAAGGGATGAGACTCAAGCCAATGGATCAGAAAGAGTTTAGTGAGCAAAATGATGGTTTTTAAGGGGAGTGAAGGCACCCTATTTATATTGTTGAAGGATTCACGGATGGTTGACAAATGGACGGTATCGGGCAACCTTCATTCTTGGCCACAACTTTGCTTCCAGTGCACTCTCATGCATAAGTGGAGCTTATTGCCCTTTAATACACAAGATTTTGAGTGGCTTGGGTAGTTAGTGCTTGTGTTGTTAAATGGGAGGTTGTGGGTTTAACACCCCTTGGTAACGCATCTTATATTATTTTGCTCCATGCTTCTTTCTTCACCTCATTGGCCCAAGACTTATCTAATAAAATGGGTCCTAGGAAAAATAACACGATCGTTAGATACGTCATTTCGCACTAGTAATATACTAATATGAATAATGTTAGCCTTAATTGTAGGTAAGTAAGTTATCTTAGTATAAATAGATGTTAATAGAAATGATATAACTTGGTGGTGATGATTGACATAAATACATAATATGTAAGAGCATCTCCATTAGTTCAAAATGTTGAGTTTTTCCTCACTTTTTTTAGATTAAGAAGATGATAGGTCGAAGATATGAGAGGATAGATTAAAAAAAAAAATCAAATTTGAGTGCCAAAACCTTATCTTTTCCCTCTACTTTTGGAAAGACTTGGAAAAAAAAAAAGATGAGTTGGTGCGCGTTGTGTGCATTAGTGTTGCCTAGTGGGTGCATTATGGTGACTGTCTGTGGATGTATTATGGTGACTGTCAATTGGCGATTCTATAGGTCACTTTGTAATTTTTGTTTTCAAACTGTTTCCCTCTATCCCATTGTTATCTTGACTTACTCCACAAAAAAATTCAAATTTGAATTCAACCAATGAATTTGCTCTTAGAGCATCCCCAAAGGAATTTTTGAGAAAGTTTTTTCAGAGCTAAAAATTTAAGATTTATTATTATTTTTTTATGGAAGGGTGGGGTTTTAAGAAAATTTTTATCTTGCAAATGTTACAAAATATATTTATTATGGACATTATGTCCCTTTATTATGATTAATTTGTCATTATGTAGTGATTTGTAACCTACATCTCTTTGTACTATAAAAGGTTGTTTTCTTGATAATGCAAGGACAATCTTTTCCTGGTGTTCTCATACTCTCTCTACTTCATATCATAGTCTATTTACATTTTGCATTGTCCCTGCAAATCCACCGGCTAAGAGCTAACGGGCATCAAACATTTAACACGTTATCAGCACGATCCCAATTTTCTCCGGTGAACGGTATTGCTTTTCCCATAGTTGCTATAAACTATCTCATCCGTTGTGCTTTTGTGCTTTGCTTAAGTACCTGTATATGAATTTTTTTACTGCTTATTTCTCACTATGTTTGTCATTACTATGTGAGGATTTCATATGGAAGAAAAATTCAAAACATGTATGTCTCTATTTGTTTTATGCATCTGTTCAAACATATAATTTACATAATTTGTTTTGTTTTGTTTTGCTACGTAGATCAATTGCATGATCAATTCAAAATAAATTGGTACTCCGTAGTTTAGTTTTGTTAACAATTACATGGTGTTGTTAAATAAACTTTGAGATATGATTATCCTTTTATTCATATATGTGAAATTTGGGCATAAGATTATTGTTTTACTGGAAATACACATATATGCATAAATAGTATATTTTAATACTGTGATCCTATCTGATATATATATATATATATATATATATATATATATATGCAGTGATTTGTAAAGAGTGATTTGTTTACTGCTTATGCTGTGATCCTATCTTAAATATCCTGATTTCAGTATATATGCTGTGATCCTATCTGATTTCAAATGATTCCCTTTGAGTTTTGTTTACTGCTTTTTTCAAAATCAAATTAAAAAAAAAAAAAATCAAAACTATATACGAACCGTATAATATAGAGTTCCTTTCAATAATAGAGTTTTGTTCTCTCCCTTGAATCTTTGAACCGTATAAAATCAAAATATATATACGAACCAAAATCTTGTGATGGTGTGATCTGCGATCGGCGTCCGAAAGTGTGTCGGTGGCGACGATCGGTGCATGGCGGCGAGGTGGTACGCTGGACGGCACCTGTGCTGCTGATCGATGGAAACCGTTGGCCTATTTATCAGTTTTTTTTCTCTTTATGGCCTAGGGTTTTCTATTAAAGCCCTCCTTTTCTTGCATATTTCTATTTGGACCAATGTTTTCATTTTTGGACCACCATCATTCATGGGCTATTTTTTTTCTCATTCAAGCCCCTAATTTTTTTTGGACCATTTTTTTGGGGCATGATATATAATATTTTCTTTGGGCCTTTCGTTTATGGAAATAAACTAGGCCACACATTCCATTTTTTATGGTCCTCATTCAAATATTTTCTGTAGAAATGGCTGCTCTCGCAAAACGAGAATTCGCTGAACTCGCCCTCGATGGAAGCAATTTCCTCACTTGGGCACTTGATGTTGAGATATATCTCCAATCTACAGAACTGCTGGACACCATTGAAGAGACATCTACGAGCACTGCAGCCCAGAAGGCAAAAGCGCTCATTTTTCCTCCGCCACCATCTCAACCACGACCTCAAGAATGAATACTTAACAGAAAAAGACCCCTATGTCCTCTGGAAATCTCTTAATGCACGCTTTGACCAACAGACGTCATTGGTCCACCCCCAGGCCCAACATGATTGGCTTAACCTCCGATTTCAAGACTTTAAGTCTGTGACTGAATACAACTCCGCCCTACACAAAATTGTGTCACAATTGAAGCTCTGTAAGCAAACAATTACGGATGAGGATCTGATTGAAAAAACTCTATCCACGTTCCATCCAAATGACCTTGTGTTCCAGAAGCAGTACAGGAATACAAAATATGATACGCATCCAGAGCTCATTACGGATTTACTAGTGGCGGAAAAGCATAGCCAGTTATTGATGCAAAATCACAATGCGCGTCCAACTGGCTCTGCTCCTGTGCCTGAAGCACACACTGTTGCCCAGCAGAGCGACAATCGGCGGGGTCGAGGCCGGGGAAGGGGGAGAGGTCGTGGCAGGGGCCCAAAGCGAGGTGGCAGAGGGGGAGCTAGCGGTAGTAACTCCCGTCCTCAGAACAAGCAAACTCAAAGAAATGGACCAAACAAGTCACAACAGAACTCCGGTCAGTCGCAGCCATGTTATAAATGTGGTTGCAAAGGACATTGGTCTAGGACATGCAGGACTCCTAAGCATCTGGTCGAGGCTTACCAAAAGATGCTCCAGCAGGAAGGAGGACAAAAGAAGAAAGATTCTGGGCAATCATCTTTGCCTGAAGCAAATGCCCTCATCTTAGGGAATGATGACCTGCTAGGCGATGAACTAGCTAATTATGGAGATCAGGAGTGATACTCCTATTTTTTTTTTTTCTCTCTCTCTCTTTCCCTTATGGACATCCATTTTACTTCATGCCTGCGTGCATGTTTATATTTGAACTCTTTTGTCCTATATGAATAACGGATCCTTTATCTTTGAACACTTCTGTTTGAATAAATACAATGGATCATTCTTAGACATTATCTTGATACCCATTCCTTTTCTTTAGAGATATGGGAGATGAATCAACCCTATGCTTGGTTGATTGTGCGACTACGCACACTATTCTAACAGACCGGAGATTTTTCCAAACGTTCAAGGAACATAAAGGCAACCTTTCAACCATAGCGAATGATGACATCCCTATTGTGGGCTCCGGCAGAGCGTCACTTATTCTTCCTAAAGGAACAAAGTTGATCATTGATTCAGCCCTCCTATATCCTCAATCAAAAAGAACTTTGCTCAGTTTCAGGGATATTCGGTCCAACGGTTTCCACATAGAAACTAAAACTAAAAACAATACCGAATTCCTTGTTTTGACCAAAACGGTCAATAACCAGAAAAAGGAAATTGAAGAACTTCCTTCCTTTTCTTCTGGCCTGTATTATTCATATATCAGGCCCCAGCACTCCTACGTTGCACTCGCAGTAAAGTTTAAAGATACACATTCTTTCAGTCTATGGCATGACCGCTTAGGTCACCCTGGGCAAACAATGATAGGCCGGATTCTTTCAAATTCAACTGGACATAACCTTCTTAGGACAAACATTCTTTCTACAAAAGATTACACATGTGTTCCATGTGCACAGGGAAAACTTATTGTTCGTCCCTCGCGTCCTAAGATTGGTTTTGAGTCACCTGTCTTCCTGCAGAGGCTACAGGGTGATATTTGTGGACCAATTAATCCTTCATCCGGACCATTTCGATATTTTATGGTCCTTATTGATGCTTCCACCCGATGGACACATGTGTGTTTGTTGTCCACTCGAAATATGGCATTCGCAAAATTCATAAGCCAAATCATTAGGTTGAATGCCCAATTTCCCGATTATCCTATTAAGAACATAAGAATGGATAATGCTGGTGAATTCACTTCGTCAGCTTTTGACGATTATTGTATGGCCATGGGGATTAAGGTGGAACATCCTGTACCATACGTCCACACCCAGAATGGTTTAGCTGAATCTCTTATCAAAAGAATTAAACTAATAGCTAGACCATTACTACAACGGTCCAGTCTACCAGTAAATTGTTGGGGACACGCAGTGTTGCATGCTGCAAACCTAATTCAACTCCGGCCAACTGCATATCACGATTATTCCCCTCTACAACTTGTACGTGGTAATGAGCCAGACATTTCCCATTTGCGTGTCATTGGCTGTGCGGTTTACGTACCTATACCACCTCCGCATCGTTCTTCAATGGGCTCGCAACGTCGATTAGGTATTTATGTTGGGTATGAATCCCCTTCTATCATTAAATACCTTGAGCCTATGACAGCAGATCAGTTTACTGCACGGTTTGCTGACTGCATTTTTTATGAAGATCATTTCCCGGCATTAGGGGGAGAGAAAAGCCCAGCTTTGAAAAAATGCCACGAAATTTCATGGGATGAAAAAGATCTTCAATATCTTGACCCACGTACTAGTCAAACTGAACTTGAAGTTCAGAAAATAATAAATTTGCAAAAACTAGCAAATAATCTGCCAGATGCGTTTAATGATTATAAAAGAGTAACTAAGTCCTATATTCCTGCAGAAAATGCTCCATCAAGGATAATTGTCCCCAAAGGACCAAATACTAACGCCGACATTGTCCGACGCCAGAAGCGTGGAAGACCAGTTGGTGCAAAAGATGTAAATCCGCGGAAAATTAAAAACAATAAACAATCACAGTTACTCCAAAATCGTCCTGAAGACGAAATACCCAGTGTAAATGCACGTGCTACAAATAAATCTAACACTGGGAATACGGAACACCTTCACCAAGATATAATAGCAAATGAGAAAGACTTGGTTGAAGTAAATATAGAATCTGCCATAAACTTTTTCGAAACAGGAGAAAATCTTAATAGAAATGTAACAGTCGTCGACGACCAATTCGCCTCTACAATTGCTCTTCACATTTCTTTCAATAATCTGGATCCAGAACCAAAAACTATAATGGAGTGCCGGAAGCGCTCCGATTGGTTGAAATGGAAAGAAGCAATTGAGGCTGAGCTCAACTCGCTAAATAAAAGAAAAGTGTTTAGTCCTCCTGTACTTACCCCTAAAGGCGTGATCCCAGTAGGATCCAAATGGGTATTTGTACGAAAGAGGAATGAACAAAATGAGGTGGTCAGATACAAAGCGAGACTGGTAGCTCAAGGGTTCTCACAGAGACCCGGAATAGATTTTGAACAAACTTACTCTCCTGTCTTAGATGGCACATCGTTCCGTTATCTAATATCGCTGGCAGTAAAAATGAATTTAAAAATGCAGTTAATGGATGTTGTGACCGCATATTTATATGGGTCACTAGACGCTGACATATATATGAAAGTACCTGAGGGCATCCAAAATCCTTTATGTAAAGGAAATACAAATAAAAATATGTTCAGCGTAAAGCTACAAAAGTCATTGTATGGCTTAAAACAATCAGGAAGAATGTGGTATTGTCGATTGAGTGAATTCCTCTTAAAACAAGGATATGAAAATAAAGATATTAGTCCTTGCATCTTTACAAAGAAATCAACTGATGGTTTCTGTATCATATCAATCTATGTAGATGATATAAACATCATAGGGACAAGCAAGGATGTCAAGAGGGCATGCTTGTGCTTAAAAGAGGAATTCGAAATGAAAGACTTGGGAAAAACCAAGTTCTGTCTCGGCCTGCAGATCGAGCACCTCCCTGAAGGGATATTCATACACCAATCCAAATACACAAACAAGTTATTGGAGAAATTCTACATGGATAAGTCCCATCCACTTAGTACTCCAATGGTAGTCCGATCACTTGAAATTGAGAAGGACCCGTACAGACCTAAAGAAGATAATGAGGATATTCTGGGACCAGAAGTTCCTTACTTAAGTGCCATTGGAGCACTTCTATACCTTGCCAACTGCACTAGACCTGATATTGCATTTTCAGTAAACATGCTAGCTCGTTTTAGTGCTGCTCCAACCAGAAGGCATTGGAATGGCATAAAACATATCCTCAGATATTTGCAAGGTACAAAGGATCTTGGCCTTCTATTTAAAAGAAACCAAGACACCACATTAGTGGGATACGCGGATGCTGGCTTTATGTCTGATCCGCATAATGCTAGATCTCAGACTGGATATGTGTTTCTTTCTGGAGGTACTGCTATTTCATGGAAATCAGTTAAACAAACATTAGTAGCTACCTCCTCAAACCATTCTGAGATTATTGCCTTATACGAGACCTCCAAAGAATGTGTATGGTTGAGGTCATTAATACACAATATTCAAGACTCGTGTGGAATAATGAATAATGGAAAGATCCCCACTGTCCTGTACGAGGACAATGCAGCATGTGTTGCACAAATGAGTAATGGATATGTTAAAGGTAATCTCACCAAACATATTACACCAAAATTCTTTTATCCACATGAACTCCAGAAGAGTGGTGAAATACGAGTCCAAAAGATCCAGTCAAGTGAGAATCTGGCAGATTTATTTACTAAGTCCTTACCTACATCTATTTTTGAAAAGTATGTATACAAAATTGGTATGCGTAGATTAGGAAGGCTGTTGTCTTCAGGGGGAGCAACAACATCTTGAATGTAACAAAATTATTAATCTAGAAGATCAATTTATTTACTTTGATCCAGAAGATCAAGACTTATCCTTATGTTTTATACCTAAACCCAGAAGGTTTACAGTTGTACTCTTTTTCCCTTTGCTGAGTTTTTTTTCCCACAGGGTTTTCTCAGTGTAAGGTTTTTTAATGAGGCAACCAAAGCAACACATGCATTATCCATATATCATGTACTCTTTTCTCGACTAGGTTTTTTCCACAGGGTTTTTCTAGCGAGTTTTTAACGAGGCATGATTATGGCAAAATAATGTCCAAGGGGGAGTGTTACAAAATATATTTATTATGGACATTATGTCCCTTTATTATGATTAATTTGTCATTATGTAGTGATTTGTAACCTACATCTCTTTGTACTATAAAAGGTTGTTTTCTTGATAATGCAAGGACAATCTTTTCCTGGTGTTCTCATACTCTCTCTACTTCATATCATAGTCTATTTACATTTTGCATTGTCCCTGCAAATCCACCGGCTAAGAGCTAACGGGCATCAAACATTTAACAGCAAATACCAATTTTTTGTGCGATGAATTAAATTTGAAAATGAGAAAAAATTGTCACGCCCAGTAGACGCATGTACTAATTGGCGCGTAAATGCACTTTTAAATCTTTTTCTCTTTTTTTTCCCACTCCCTCTTCCTATCTTTGTTTTTATCCTCTCTCTCTTTTCTACTTGTCATGCAAAAATCACAAAAAGTATTGCATTGTTGATGTTGCTATAAACATATAAAGATATTAGCACATAGTAAAATAAATCAATAAAATAAATACTCCGTATTCTATAGGCCTAGGAACAAATTTATACGATTCATGATATAGTTTGATGAAGTCGAAAAATTTGGGTTATATATATATATATATATATATATATATATATATATATATATATATATATATATATAGTGAAAAGTTCCCGTGTGGTTGAATGTTTTCCGTGCTGATGTGCTGTGGATTAATGTGAGTGAGATTTGTACTCAATGTGCGTGAGTGTTGTGCTTAATATGCCTGAGATTTGTACTTAATGTGCGTGAATGTGTAAAATGCAGCAGAAAATATTGATGTCAGCTTCTTTCCCATCCCCAGTAATCATTTGCCCCCTCCCTGATGATGATGTGGAGGCGAGCTATGGTGGTTAAGAATTATGGGAATAATACAACAGAATTCCACACTTAGCTGCTGTGCAAATTTTACTGTGCGTGCGTCATTTATACAAA